TTGAATCTCATGTTGCCTCGATTGTCCCCTGTCGCCCTCTATGCAAGACAAAATGCGCGATGTACTACCTACCCACTGCCCACCACCTCCTTCCATGTCGATGACGCCCCATACATCAGTGGTGGGCGTAAATGTATGTGAATAGACACAAAAGCAGGTAGAGGGGGTCGTGCTGATAGCCACTGCAAGGGGAGGGAGCCGGAAAGATTTTGAAGTCTGCGTAGCGCGCGGTTCACCCTGATGAATAGTTCGAGAAGCTCGTACGAACTTTCCTTCTTCATTCAAGAGTGAACTGCCACGGAATGAGAGGACAATTATGGTCATTGTGTATTCGGCCATTTCTTTTACGTTCTTTTTTTTACTTCCACTAGCACCTTTGCAATCATTTTCCACCGTTTTTATTGGAAACTTATTTGTCTCATGCGCCTTCAATGTCTGAGTTGATAAATACTACAGGGTGACTGCTGTGATGAAAGCTGAAGAAGCCAGAAATCCAGATATCTCAGTGCACGGGATAAAGAAGAAAGTTGTGACTTTCTACTACGAAATCCGAGCAACTTTGTCACGTTTTATCTGCAAGATATGTGGCTACCTCCTTTTCAAGGTGATGCAAATGCTTCGAACGACAGTCTCCTTTAGTGAGCAGTATTCTTTTTAGGTATTTCGTCGCCTCATGACTCGCTTATTAGTCAGTCCGCTGCAGATGAAACGAGTTGTTGAAGCGGAAAAAGTTTGTTTTCCTTTACTTTGCTTGGGCTCCGTTCTTTCGTTGCTCGAGCTTTCACGCACGCTTCTATTGTTTCTAGCTTATCATTTTTTTTCGTTTTGGAAGCAAAGAGTCTATTGTAGACAGGAATACCACTTGTATATCTTCCTCTTCACCGCTCCCATCTTGATTATCTCCTAATCACTTGGACTGCATGGCACTTTGGACTTCGTCTGCCTCACATTGCTTCTGGCGATAATTTGAACCTCAGCGGTCTAGGGTAAATTCAATGATTTTTTTGTGATTTTTCTCCATATTTAAGGAATCATGTTTTTCCTCGTAATTTGCTTGTGAACTCAGGTGGCTTTTGCGTTCTACTGGTGCATTTTTATCCGGAGACGAAGTGATGAGCATGATGAAAGCGGAAAAGACGCCTGTTATCGGTTGGTCTTCTATTTTTTATTTACTTTGTGTACACAGACGGGCTTCCGTAATAGTATCAGCTAGGTATGAGCCATATTGTTGTGGTCTAACAATCGACTTAAAGGCAGCGATTACGATAAAGAGGAAGCGCATAGGTAAAGCATATTCACCACACGAAGCAGTAACTTGGCTGACAAGAAAGCGATATGTGGCGCTTTCACGACGAAAGAATGCTGAGAAAGACTTTGAAAGCACTCCGCTCTCGAAAGTGATCCGCCCTCTAGTCTAGTTGATGAGTTGGACGAACGGTGTTGCCAGCAGCGGCACAATGGAAGCAACGATTGGTGCATAGTTGGCGTGCTGCCATCAAATGTAATGCGGTAAATTCGTTCATACGTCAGCTTTTTGAACTGGTGCCCGTTCATAAGTGAAAGCCAATTGCCGAGAAATGGGGTACCGTTTCGCCTTTTCTTGTCAGATTTTTCTGCATTTTCGCCACTGGCGTACCATTGAGCACCCTACGTCCCCTCTAACCCTTTCTATAAAATATCGTAATCGCCTTTAATCAAGTCAAATCAAAGTCAAAACTGCAGATTATCCCTACTATATATAATGCGCTATGTTGCTATATATAATGCACTGTCTGTCTGTGTGTGTGTCACGGTGTCTGTCACAAAAATCCCTACTTTCTGTAGATTCACCTGGAGAGACCTAATCAAGTGTGGGATAGGTACACCATATCTAACGACATACGAAACATACATCAGCTGAGCTGATCCCCGCCTATAGTGGTCGTGGCGTGCATCGAAATGAGTGTTACTGAGGACCATGATTTCAAGTTCAGTCACAAAACAGCCTCGAGACTGGGGACAAAAGTGAGTACAGGTGTGCGTTGGTAAGCCAGATTGATATGGGGCACCCACCCTCACTGGGCGGGGCGTTCTCTAGAAAAGCGGTGCTTTGTGAAAAAACTCATAACTCGGTTTGAAGTAAGTCTATAGCTCTAGTGAAATGTCTGTGTAGGGGAGCAGTGTCTAAGGTATCCCCAGCATGCGTGACGAGGGCGGAGGCCCGCCCACAATGGGCGAAGCGCGCTTTGAAGTGCACAGCGTTTTCTACAAGCCCTCATAATTCGGATCGGAAAAGTCTTAGAGAGCCGGAAAAAGGCAGATAGAGGTGGGTGGAGGAGTGGAAGTCAACTGTCACCGGGGGCGCGGCATGACCAAGGTGGGCGGAGTTTTCGAAGAAAATTCATACCTCGGTTGCAAGAAGCTCCGGAGACCGGGAAAAGGTGGATAGAGGTGGGTGGAGGAGTAAGGGTCAGCTGTCACTGGGGGGGGGACATGACAAAAGTGTGCGGTATTTGCGACGAAAATTCATAAATCAGTTCCAAGAGGTCCCAGAAACCGGGAAAAAGTGGATAGAGTTTAATAACAGGAGGGTGGTCAACTGCTACAGGTGGGTGGAGCGTGCACCAAGTGGGCGGAATTTTCCATGGAACATTGTAGCTCGGTTCCAAAAAGTCCTGGAGATCCTGGAGACTGGGGAAGAGTATAGAGTCCGACAACAAGTGAAGTCGGCAGGTATCGGCGGGTGGTGCGTGCGCTGAAGTGGGCGGAGTTGCTCCGAAGTATTATGGAAAGCTCAGAGAGGGCCCAGACCCGGAAAAGTGGATGGAGGTTAGGTTAGGAAGGAGGTCGAATGCTATATGTGGGCGCCTCCAAAGTGGACGGAGCTTCCCTCGATGCACCAAAAAAATGACGACACTGTTCCATGCTATTGCAGTCCCGTAAGATGCACGCAAGTGCGTGCCTCGCTGACCTGGTAACAAATAAGCAGATTCTGAATAACTTGATAGAAATGTAAAGGAAATAAAGAAAAAACACCTAGCGCAAGCAGTGACAAATTCTATCGTGTGATAATTATGAATACAAAATGGAATATGTCCATGTACACCAGTTTTGTGGAATTTTCACTAATACTATTTCTGCTGATTTCAACTTCGTAATTCATTCAGCAACTACTGCAATGCAATTTTATATTTGTGGCTGCAGAGTTTTGAAGGCCGACCAGCACAGAAAGTATATAGACATTTTGACATTTCCATTTCTATCAAGTTACTCAGACACTGATAATATTAGTTGAATCATGGGTACGTGCCGATTTGACATCAGTTTCCCAAATTCTAACTTTCTTTCATACCATCCTTATTAGGTGCTATGTCCACCACAACTGTTCACTATCGTCCACGTCGTCTTGAAATAGCAGCAGCGAGAGAAGAAAGTTAAGGAGAACAGTCATCTCAAAAGCCTCTCCATTCACTTCACAACTAGCTTCACTCCTAGAACAGGGTCAGCTGTGACAACGTGCTTTGTGCCAATTTTTTAGGTTTTTACGACCACCGCCCCCCCCCCCTCCCACCCTTTTTGGGAGGTCAGTACGACCCCAATTGTACAAGCTTTCATCCATATCTCATCGCCATAGTACTCATCTTTGTCTTTATGCCCACCATCGAGGTGTGAGCCGTCACCGACATGGCAATGGGAAGTTACGTCCCGCGCTTTGTCTTGCCCAGCGGACGGGAATCGAGGTGACATGAATTCTCAGCCAACATAAAGAACAACTTCTTAAATTCTGTATTGGTCTGCTTATGTTTGTAATCGCAGAGAACTACTTTCTGATTGTGAGAACAAGATTTTTTTGCTACCGATCTCCCTTTTTTACGAACTGACAAAATAAACCTCGAAGTAGTGGTGAAGCAATCACCAATTTGAAGGGTTGTATCTTATTCTTCAATTACGCTTTTATGAAATTGGATATGAAAATTCCAAAGTTTCGTAGTGTTTTGTGAAGTATTTTAACTTTTGCGAGCACATTCTCACACAAAGTCGCTCCATTGTTATGCTTTTGTGCCCATTCCAATTTTCTAGCATTTAAACGTTCATAATTTCCTTCATGATCAACTGTTTCTCAGTTCTTCGGAGCGATTGCGAGACTAGAGCTCCCGAAAAGAGTTGAAACTTCTGCGCGTGCTATCTAGAATGGAATGTGATTTAGTAAGAACTGTTGCTCTAGGACGTGCCATAGCTCGTCTGGTCAGCACTACCATGGAGATTTACGAGTCTGTACTTTGGCCTTTTTTGCCTGGCAAATGGATGATACCGCTGGCTATGACGGTGATCCCTCTGTTACTCATGGCTTCTTAGGAAGGATAAATCCAAATGAACAGAAGGGCCAAATGTTGGGCATCAATCATGGGACATCACAATATGATAGGTCAAAACAGAGAACTGATAAACGAAAAAAGTAAGGTCACAGTGGTTATGGGGGAGAAAGCGGGGTCACACAAAGAAATGCGGAATGGCGAGGACAGAATAGACACACTAGGAATAGTAAAAGTGGTCATCGGAGTATCATAAGGGTAAAAAGAGAAATCCAAAAGCATTTGTTTGGATTGGTGATCAAACATTCTGAACCTAGAAAAATTATGGAAAACTGGCATATGTCGCCTTCCACGCCATGTCATAAAGGACTCCATCGTATCTTCAAGAATGGGAATAACTGTTTTGGGTTCAATGTGTGGACGTATATGTGTTCTGCAGTTTGGGATTCTGTAACTAAAAATAGCGC